GATAATAACACAATAAGTCCATTAGTTAAAATGGCTATTTTATATAAGTACCTATCACATGGACTACTGTGGCTATCATAACTTCATGGTTTCATTAACTCTTTCTAAATTTAAGACTCTTCAGACTGAAAGATACATCTCTGAGTTTCACACAATAGTGAATACATGGACCTTTCTCATTCCAACTACTTCGTTCCTACCATTAGAGGCATACAGCCAGGGTCTTTGAATCCTACAATTTTCTGAGTTATATCCTCAAGTGATCTCATTATAAAGTAGATGAAGTTCCTTTTTAATGTAGTGAGCTTTATCACATAAGGATTTAGGAGACAAGAAAAGGTATAGGAATGATTTTGTAGAATATTGATTGGAATATATCTCACTATAATTAACACTGAGTGAAGCTCAAACCAGAACAAGAAATATTAGAGAAATAAAAAAATTTTACTATTAATATTATTTCTACACTTTTTTAAAGCTAATACACATTGCAGCCACTGTACTACTCTTTATCCATTCGGTGTGTCAGCAGTCTTGGAATCTTAGTACCCACAGTTTCTGTGTCTTTCTCCTCTTCATTCTCTTTTTCTTTGCTGCCCTCTGTCTGTGTCTCAACTTCAGAATGATCATTTGCTTTATTTTCAAAATCTGAAATTCTGAAAAATTACAGAATGTTAAAAAGTTACTTTCGGCTCAAAAGGAGTAGCAATTACAGAAGCACTCCAAAGAACACTTCAAAATCTGAGTAAAGAATCAGGGTTTTTCAAAAATCTCTCTACATTCACTGTATTAGCATTAGTTTTGTTTTTCATCCTAAGACTGCCTAGAACTGATGTGATTTAAGATATGAATATATGTAGAAGTAAAAGACAAAAATAACTCATTTTGAATACTGCCTGTTTTCATGTGACTGGACTATCCAAAAAAGATTTTTAAAATTTCTTGTGTGTGTATACACATGTAGATATGTTTGTGTCTTCCATGAGTGTGTTTGTCTCACTTATAAGAAACTAGCAGAAGGAAAGACTTTTCCTTTAGGATCCATCTGAGTTTATAAGTTCCTTAGCAAACAGACACAGCACCATTCTACACTGAGTCATAATCGCAGGAAAGCCAACCCAGTGCAAATGAAAAAAAATGGAGACTGGTTAAATATAGGAGGTCGAGTATGTGCATATAATTCTTCTCCTACCCCAGATGCTATGAAAATGACTTTGAAAAACCTATGTAACTATAGGAACAAAGAGAAGGTGAAAGCAAACAACAAAATTTAGAAAGCACAGAACTGAGTGGGGACAGGCTCAGCATTCCAGGAAGGTGACCCTAAGCCAACAGTAGGGAATAACATGATTTACACTGTGGAGACTCCAAAAAAGCTCGGGGTAATGGGTACCTCTGGATGTGGTAAAGGTGGAACCTGTTTAAAAAGTGTTGGAAGATAAAAAAAAGGATTCTGGACTCAGAAGAGTTAAGCAGAGAGATTGGGCCTTCTATTTAAAAGGGAACGATTTACATAGATTCAGCTGAAGGCCTCAGCCTTCTTTACCTACTCATCTCAAGAACACTGGAATCTAGAAAAATGTGCTTTAGGCAGGAGGTTAGAAGCATCTTCTCAAGAGAATCTGACCAGGAAAGGGAAAATATTTTAAGTTTCAGACTTGGGTTTTCCCCAGGAACCTCCYAGCTTATCTCCCTCCAGATGCTCACAAAGCTTCAAGTAACTTCTAACTCTTACTTACTCTTAAATCTCATCAAACAGCCAAGATTTCCAGACAAGATTACCTTAAAATAAAACAAATATTTTCTACTGAAAGTAAAATATGCCAGTGGGAGGTGGGGGGGTGCTATCCCCAGAGACATAGGAAATATACCGCAGCCATTGAGAAAGGAACATTAAAAGCAAGCAAGCATGTGCACATGTGCACCCACGCATGAGCACTTCCCCAATACAACAGAAATGAAAACTGAAAAGGGAAAATGAAAAAGAGATGCCAAAGATGAGCAAAAGTTAAGAAAATCAGATGATGAGTCCAGGAGATCCAATTCAAAATAAAACAATAGTAGGTTCTAGGAAGGCAAATAAAGGAAAAAGAAAATTKAGGCTAGGAAATAATCTTTAATTTGAGATTATTTTTCAAGAAATGAAGGTCAGCTAGGAGTAGTAGGATACATCTGTAATCTCAGTAGCTCAGGAGACTGAGGCAGGAGGAATACAAGTTCAAGGCCTGCCTCAGAAACTTAGTGAGGCCCTGAGCAATTTAGCAAGACCCTGTCTCAAAATAAACAATTAAAAGTGCAGGGGATGTTGCTCAGTTAAGGTCATGAGTTTGCAGAAAGGTGCAAGGTTAAAAAATAGGCTCACACCCAGAGCACATGTGAAATTTCAGAATACTTGAGACAAAGCAAAGAACTTCCAGAGAAGGGGAAAGACAAAAAGTTTTCATACAAAAAGATAAGGATCAGAGTAGCAATAGATTTCTCATCAGTAAATCTAGAAGCTAGAATACAATGAGGTGATGCTTTCAAAAAYTGGAAAGAAAATAATGTCCAATCTAGAATTCTGTATCTAACCCAACTATCCATTAAGTATAAAGGTAGAGAGATTTTTTTTGATAAGTAGACCTCAGAAAACATACTCCTCATATTCTCAGTATGGAGATGTAGTGTACACTACTTAGTAAAAGAGTAAGAAAGGCACTGGATTAAGGAAATGAGATCCAACACTGGAGAGCTGAAGGAATTCCACAGGATGATGCCACATTTAGAACAACTATTTCCTATGATTAATGAAAATGCTTGAAAATTTACTTATTTCAGAAAAGGACATGTTATATCTTGCACATGTGTTTTTATCATATCTGTGTATAGTGTGTGAAAATCAAGCCAGGTTGTTCATGTGTCAGTGATTTTGTTCCTTGGTTTCAGACCTACCTTATCTAGGAAGAAAACATCCTATGCCCACAGAGAGAACATTATTCTCAGCAGCTAGTTACTGACTTGTCAGTTGTTAAATATTGAGAGAAAGATGGTTAYAAAGCAGAAATTGAGAGTTATTGAGAAAGAGACCTTTACAGGGTGCTCATGTGGGGCATAAGGACTTCATCTCAAAGGCAAGCCTGACTCATTACCTACAATCTGAAGAAATAAATACCTCTAGGCATCTGGGTAGAAAGCCATGACTTTTTCGAAAGCAGGTAATATATATTTCATAAGAAAGATCATTATTTATACCTAGCAAGTTCCTAAGTTTATACTTCCACTAATAAGGCCAATCATATTGGTTTAAAGATGAATTGCTTATTAAACTTGACTTTTTGGAATGGTATATAGAACTTGAAAAATAAAAAYATGCCTTTAAAATACAAACACACTGATTACTCATTGCTATTAAAGGTCTCATTCACAGAACATCTTCTTTTAAAACTCAACTATAATAATAAAAAGAATGCTTTTATTTGTACTACTTACTATGTTTTTGGATTTACTGAAAATAAAGCATGAATATATTTCCTCATTAGAAGACAATGGAGGTAGTAGATTCCTAGACATTAACTCTGAACTTTTCTGAATAGTAGAGTGTCGGGTAAAAACTTAGATGCCTCCATGCCCTTTTCACCTTTGAAAAGAGTTGATCACCAAATAAGACACTGGACAAATATTGACATGCCTTTCATGTTATTTTTTCTATCTGGGAAAAAAAAACTTATATTTAACATTTAAGAAGAGATCTYCTTATAGTTAAAATTCTAAACTRTTTCAACTGCAAAATACTTTCTATTTTCCTAAGAGAGGATTGAACCTAGGACCTCTCAACATGCTAGGCAACTGCTCTACCACTGAGCTACATCCCCTGCTCTGGAAAGTATTTCTTAAAGTGCTGCAGTATAAGATTAAGCCAGGCATGGTGATGTATTCCTATAATCCCAAAGACTTAGGAGGCTGAGAAAGGGGAATCAAAAGTTCAAGGCCAGCCAGGGCAACTTAGCCAGATCCTGTCTCAAAATAAAAAATAAAAAAAGGGCTGGGGATGGAGCCCAGTGGTAAAGTGCCGCTGGGTTCCATCCCCAGTACCACAAAGGCAAAACAAAACAAAAAAGCAACGTATAATGTCTGAGAGAATTAATTATGCCATAGTATATTATGATTAAATGTTCCAGTCACAAGAACTCTAAAACTATTTATAACCTCCCCTGTATCTTACACTATATACTTTGTATTGTAAAAAGTATATTTATAAACAGAACTTACTGACTTAAAAATGCTTAAGACACAAAAATGTACCCCTGAAACCAGTCTAAATGATTTTGTTTACAACAGCTTTGTTGTAGCTATTTCCATATAAAAAGGTTCATTGGATATTTTTAAAAGTGTATGCATCCAGAGGAGGAGGTACCATTTCTCAATTCATTCTATGAAATCAATATTAACCGAGACCAAAACTAGACAAAGATATCTYAAAAAAACTATGAATTATCATCCCTTATATATAGAAATAAAAGTCCTCAACAATATACTAGCAAACTGAACCCAGCAACATATAAAAAAGATTATATATTATATGACAAAGTGGGAATACAAAGTTGGTTTAACTGAAAATCAATTAATATGATATACTATATTAATAAAAGTTTTTCTAAAACCATATGATCAACTCCATATACACATAAAAAGCATTTGAAAAAATCCAAACCCCTTTCAGGATAAAATTACAACAAACTAGAAACAGAAAGGAACTTCTCAACTGATAAATACCCACAGCCAACATGAGATTTAATGATAAAAGATTGCAAGCTTGGAGTTGAGGTGTAGCTCAGTGGTAAAGTATTTGCTGAGCATGCAACAGGCCCTGGGTTCAATACCCAGTACCACTCTTCCACCAAAACACACACACACTGAAAGTTTTTCCCTGAAGGTTAGGAACAAAACAAGGATGCTACATTTCTAGTTAATACCACATTACAAGTTCTAGCCAGGGCAGTCAGGCAGAAAAAGAAATAAAAGGCATTCAGATTAGAAATGAAGAAGCAAAACTATCTCTATATGCTAATGATACAGTCTGATTCTGTAATAAAAAAAATCCTGAGGACTCCACTAAAAAATTAGCACTTAATAAATGACTTTAGTAAGGCTACAGGACATAAAATCTACATACAAAAATTGTTTGTTGTATTTCTATGTAATGCTAATGAGAAAGCCAAAAAATAAGAAAACTATTCCATTTACAATAACATCAAGAAGACTAAAATATTTGGGAATAAATTTTGCAAAAAAAAAAAGCAGGATGTATTGAAAAGTATAAAACAGGACTTGCCTAGCATGTGCAAGGCCCTAGATTTAATCACCATCACTGCAAAAACAAACAGCTCTCCCAAAACAAACAAAACCCAAAACCAAAAATCCCTGAACTATTAAAAATACAAAACATTATTGGAAGAAATTAAAGAAGATACAAATAAATGGAAAAGCATCCCATGCTCATGAGTCAGGATATTGTTAAATGATAATACAGCCCAAACTGTATCTACAGATGCAATGTAAATCCTAAAAAAAAAAATCCCAATTGACTGTTTTTTCCCCCCAGAAATCATCCAAGTGATTTTTTCTTTTTTTTTTTTTTTTTGGTACCAGGAATAGGACTCAAGGGCACTCAACCACTGAACCACTGAGCCACATCCCCAGCTCTGTATTTTTATTTTATTTAGAGACAGGGTCTCTAGTGAATGAGTTGCTCAGGGGCTTGCTATGTTGCTGAGTCTGGCTTTGAACTTGTGATCCTCCTGTCTCAGTCTCTTGAGCCACTGGGATTACAGGCATGTGCCACCATACCTGGCTTATCCAGGTGATCTTAAAACTCAAATGGAGGGGCTAGGGTTGTGGCTTAGCAGTAGAGTGCTCACCTAGCACATGTGAGGCACTGAGTTCACTCCTCAGCACCATATAAAAATATAAAAAATAAAGGTATATTTAAAAAAAACTCAAATAGAACAGCAAGTAACCAAGAACAATAGCCAAAACAATCTTTAAAAAGAGCAAAGTTGGAAAACTCATATGACTGACTCCAAAACTTACTATAAAGCTCTCATAATCAAGACTGTGTGCCTGCATAAGGACATATAGATCAATGAAACAGAACCAAGAGCATAATGAAATTAGCCTTCTATATCACTCCATACACAATAATGAATTCAGAATGTACCACAGACTGAAATGTAAAACTAAAACAATAAAAATCTTCAGAACACAGAGTAAAGCCTTGTGATACTGGGTTAGACAATGATTTCTGAGATACCATACTAAAAGCATAGATGACAAGATTAAAAGAGAGAAATCACATCAATATAAATTTTTTTTCTTGCACTGCAAATAATATCATCAAGAAAGTGAAGGGTTGAGAATGTGGTAYAGTGGTAGAATATTTGCCTAGCATGAGCTGAGTTCAATCCTCAGTAGCTCAGTAACATGAAGGAAAAAAAAAATGGAAAGGGAAAAGGGAAGGATAAAAACAACCCACAGAATGAGAGAAAATATTTGCAAATAATACTTTTAATAAATAACWAGTCTATTTGAATAGCTATTTCTCCTAAGAAAATTAAAACATGAAAAGATTCTCACTAGGGAATTAGAAATCAAAACTACAATGAGATGCCAATTCACATCTACTGAGATGGCTAAAATAAAAATGGTAGACAAGTGTTGATATGGATGTGAAGAAAGTGGAATATACATATACTGCTGGTGGTAATACACAGTGGTATAGCCTCTTTGGAAATGATTTGGTAGTTCCTCAAATATTAAACAGACTAGTAATTCCATTTCCTAGGTATACACCACAGAGAATTAAAAACATATGTCCAAGCAAACACTTATATCCATRTGTTCATAGAAGCATTCWYARTCAGYAAATGTTCATCAAGTGATAAATGGAAAAATGTCACATATCCAATGTAGAATATTATTCAGCAGTGTTATGGTTTGGATGTGAGGTGTCCCCCAAAAGCTCAYGTGTGAGACAATGCAAGAAGGTTAAAAGGAGAAATGATTGGGTTATGAGGGCCTTAATCCAATCAGAGAATTAATACCCTGATGGGGGATCAACTGAGTGGTAACTGAAGGTGGGTAGGGTGTAGCTGCAGGAGGTGGGCATTGAGGTGTTGCTTTGGGGTATATATTTTGTATCTGACAAGTAAAGACTCTCTCCCTGGTTCCTGATCATCATATGAGCCTCATCTCTACCACACTTTTACACCATGCCTTATCTGGAGCCCTAAGGAATGGAGCTGGTCTTCTATAGACTGAGATCTCTGAAACCATGAACCCCTAAATAAATTTTTCCTCTTCTAAGATTGTTCTTGTCAGGTCTTTTATTCACAGTGGTGAAAAAGATAATTAAAACAAGCAACAATAAGGAATTAAGTACTGATATATGGTACGTTGTATATGAACCTCAAAAATACTATGCTAACTGGGCATGATATTGCACACCTCTAATCCCAGCTACTCAGGAGCCAAGGCAGGAGGATCACCCTGTCTGGGCAATTTAGCAAGACTCTTTCTCCAAAAATAAATAAACAAACAAACAAATAAATAATAATTGGGGGCTGGGATGTAATGCACTGATAGCATATGTGAGACATGTGAGGCTCTGAGTCAACCCCCAGTACTCGGGAAAAAAAAAAATCACTATGATAGGTCAAAGAAGCCAGTCATAAGAGATCACAAAAGATCACATATTTTGTAATTCCATTTATATGAAATGCCCAGAATTGGAAAATGTATAGACAGAAAGCAGATTACTGGGAGGCATGGGTTGTATAGACACGCTAATGGGATTTGGATTTCTTGTATGGTATGAGGGAAAAAATGTTCTAAAATTATATTGTGGCAATGATTGCACAACCATAATACCGAATATTGCACAATATTCTGAAAACATTGAAATGTTGTGGTATCTCAGTTATATTTTAATAAAGCTGTTAAAAAACAGTGTATGCACATTTCAGGTCAAGCTATCTCATACCTTTCTTTGGCTTCTTTGAGCGCAATTTCAAGTCTCTCCACCTTCTGGTTTCCTTCCCTTAGGCAAAGCAGGAGCTGGCTCACAGTTAATTCTTCAAATTCCAAATAATTCTTGGCACCTTTGGTAGATTTGCTCCTATATTGATACCACCACCACATTCAGTATAAAGGTTAAAAGGTTTTTTTTATCAAAAAATGAAAACCAACACTTAGAGTAACCCAATATAACTGAGACCAGCTTAAACAAATTGTTTTCCAGAACATTCTCTAATTAATTCTCATCTACTGACAGATGGATGGTCCCAAGACCCATAGTGCTATGCTCCTCCCTACTTTTTGGGGAAGGTGTAGGGACTGACAGTGAGACTCCAGAGAAGCTAGCCTTAAAGTATAACTTGCTGTTTCTGAATGGTCACTGTGTAAGTAAGACCCCCAAACTCGCTTTCCAGAGATCTAGTCTCAAAGAGAACTCAGCCAAATAAACTACAGTGGCCTTTCTCCAAATCTGAGAAAGTCACTTTTACTTAAGAAAACATTTTTTTTCTTTTTGTTTCAAGTAATCAAAGAGAAATATAGCCAATATTGTCAAATATTTTTCTTGACTTCAAAATATGATTGAATAGAGACATTCTAATGACAAACAAAACCATGGCTACCACTTTAAAAACATTCAGGGACTATGATGACTATGGCAGGCACTATTTCAGTAAACTACTGGAGCTCACAAATCTAATAAAGAACCAACACTGAATTCCATTACTAGGACTCCAAAGCTCAAACTCTAAATCTAGAAATCAATCTCAAACTCCTTCTTATTCTCATAAATAATATAGGGTTGTTATTGTTTTTTTTTTAAATAGCACAGTGGCTTAAAAGAAGAACTGATCTTTGCATGTGGTATGAATGAGGAAGAAGTGGCTTGAAATTGTCAAACAATTTTCTTCCTTCCCTATACTTCCAGGAAAGTCTTCTGATACCAAAAACAGAACCTGGGAAAAAAGTTTTAAGAATTTTTAACCTAAAAAAGGGAATAATATTCACTTATACTAACAGCCATGTTTGATGAAAGAATATTATCTAATATTTTCTGATATAAGGGCTTAGAAACATGATTGGAATTTTTTTTCACCTTTTATAAGTCATTATCTATGTACACTCATCAAGTTATATAAAAAAAGATTTTAAAAGTCTATGAGGCAATCTTGGGATGTAGCTCAGTGGTACAGTGCTTGCCTAGCATATGTGAGACCTCTTGTTTAATTTCCAGTACCACCAAAACAAACACAACAAACAAACAAACAAACAATCTATGTAGTGCTGGACACAGTGGCTGTAATCCCAACTCCCTAGAATGCTAAGGAGAATTGCAAGTTTGAGGCCATCCTCAATTTAGCAAGAACCTGTCTTGCCCTTTCATTATTTAAAATGTCTGTTTCTCAGTATCTACTTGGTTCAGGTAAACTTGAGACTACGCAGATATGATACCTAGGCACTTTCAATAAACTCCTACAGTGATTGCTAGCATTAACAATAATCATTAGAGAGGATCACCAGCACTGGTCACTCTGGCTTATAACTAGGGATGAACAGGGAAGATAAAAGTGATACATCTCATTTATGTCCAAGTCAGAGAGCACTGGTAAACAAATTAGCAAACATGGGTCTTTGGGAAGCAATATCTTCTTTTTATGGAGAGCAGGACTGTTTTCACTTCTTACCTGATGGAGATGAAATACCTACAACAGAGTAGTCTGCATTAGTCAGCCTAAAAAAGGCACCAAACATTGTTTTTATTCTCCACCAGTTTGGACTATAACATTAAATAGCATTCAAACTGAATATTAATGAAAGGTCCTACTATAAATCAATAAAAAGTTACTTCTCCAGCCCATCATGTTTGACCTCCAGTGACAGATTCAAAGGGACAAGATTGCCCCATCTTTCTGCCTGACAGCTCTAGTCTT